AAGGTCCTGGGATCCTTGACATGCGAGCCTCGTATGAGGCGACAGTTAAATGTGAATTGCGGGTATTCACAATTTTGATGAGGGAGAGTGTTACGGGGTTACACGTACCCTGGTATATAGACGTGGGTCACACACGTTGGTGTGTTCGTACAATGGTGTGGCTACACCTTCACATGAAACCACTATGTGGCGGAACTGCCAGTAGTTATGCATTTTAATTAGGTTTTCCTAATTAAATAAAGATATTGGTTTAGGCGGCTCTGCTGTAAATAAAACAAAAGAAATACAATTTACAATTTGAACGAAGAGTGTATTTGCCTTCGGTTAAGGATGTGTGTGTTCTTGGAGTTAGCGAATTGCAATCCGCCACACTCATACTGGTTCTAGTATAGAAAGCCTGGTCGGTGAGCTTAGCTTAGCTTCCTCTAAGCAAAGAAGTACGGTGGTCCCGCTACAGACCACAACAGGTTATCATCCAAACACTTCTGATTAAACAGATTTGCTGCATCGATGACGTGGTCAGACAATTCGGTCGATAAGATGCCAAGTGTGTCGGCACCCGTGCGCATCAAGATCGAAGTTGTCGTCAACGCAGTCGCATACAACGAGGGATGCTTTTTTCATGATGCGCTCGAAGCAGTATCGATACTTGCTTGAGTGTGTGCCGTATTGCATACGTGATAACACATTTCTGAAGAACTCGAACAAACATCTGAATGCAGCTATCTGCATGCTACGATACCTGAATAGTACATGCCTCACCGGTATTGTCTCCCGAGGCAGTGTCACTAAAGCATATTCAGATGCAGATTGGGGCAGCAATACCAATGGCAGCTGTTTGAATTCAGGAATCATGGTCATGAATGTTGGCGCGCCATAATAAGTCAAAGTACCAGCGAACCGTTGTACTCCGCTCGGCGAAGGCTGAATATAAAGTGCTCTCAGGCTTTGCACTTAAGATGTTTTTTGTGCGATGCGTAAGGACCTGGGTCATGTGCAAGTGGAAGACACATAAGGTTGGGATGGCAGCCAAGAAGCGATTGCTTAAACCAACAATTATGTTTTGATGAATCATGTGGACATCATGCAGCAACTACCGCCATTTGTGACGATTATCCGAATGGCTCGCTCTGCTGTCACATTTTTTGATGCGCGTTTGGCACTGTCACTTGCTGTTCGATTCCTTGATCTTTATAAAAAGTATTGAGAGAGTTTGTTGCAAACTCGCGGGCTCCATCATGGCGAGCAAACGTGATTCGTTTGCCGAAATGTGTCTGAATTTTGATGATGTAGCTCTGAACGCAATATTCGCCCTCTTTTGGCACGAAGGTAGAAGAAGCCTTTGATGCATCCACCTCCCTCACCCATAATAAGCAGTGGATACTCGCATCCACCAAGCGAGTCTTGCTCTATAGGACCATATGTTTTAAAATGGAACATTGTCATAGTTACTTGGATATGATTTTTGAACAATTCTTCCATGTTAACATCCACGGCATACCCTTGGCGCGTTTGACAGAGATGACAACTTTATATTTTTGATCTTTCGGAGTACATGAATTGGCGTGTGGTCCATCCGTGTGTGCGAGTCATGGCTAAGGCTTGGAGTGGCTAAATGTGCTGATTGCAGTGGTATACGAAGCCAGTGAAGTCATTCGCGGTTGCCATCACTTATGAGAGTCCTGCTGTGGTATGTGCATTCTTGCACCATCAGACACTACTTGAAACTTGACATTTTGGCTGATTTGCGGTACCAAAAGATAATTCTTGTTCATCATTGGCATATATAGTGCGTCTTAATCCTCCCGTTTGCGAGAACACTCGCTCAATCGTAGGATCAACACCTTGATTGCGGCCTTGCTATCGCCAGTCACTGTAAGTTCGCCTTCATTGTGTTCATTGAGGTTTTCAACCTTAGCTTTGTTTCTACAGATGTGATGCGCGGCACTGCTATCTATTGACCAAGGTCCAGACATGCTCTGGTTTGTCGTGATTCCAGCGATATTCAAAAGCGATTCTTTATACACATGGTTGGCACCGCATCCCCGCCGAGTCAATCCAGACGATTCTCATTATTTTGCTTGGCCCAGCACCGCAAGATGTAGCAACTAGTTTGTGAACTAAGGACCTAAATATATACACTTTCAAATTTTGATTTTCCCTACAAGAGTCTTCGCTCCTAGGATTTTTCCCTCGTCAGCTTTAAACATCAACAGATTATGAGCCCTAGGGTCATCGCCTCCGCATACGACAACTCTACCAGGGTGGTCATCGACAATTTTTACGGCGACAACTACGCGACACTGGACCATTGCATGCATGGCGTATTCCTGACCAAGTCGGTGTGGCATGTCGTCAACCGAGAGTCGCCTACAACTTTGCGGGCCATCGAGCCTCGGATGTTTTCGTCAAGGCAAGCAACATCGCGATTGGGTTAAGTTGCTTCACATGGACACAATCAACCATCCCGTGGTCGACAATTATGAACAGCCTGGACCGTGTAGTCGCATTTGCGTACATTGTAAAGTGGGCCAAACAGGCTTGACGCATCTTCTCAAAGCGACAGTGCGATCTGCCTACTACAGAATCTTTCAAAGAGCTTGGAGAATGTTGTTCCTAACTTGGTAATAGCAACGAGAACTTCGTGCGCAAGACGTTGTGAAGGTGCTTACGAATGAGCTCATAAAGTGGGAAGAAAAAAAGTATCGAGGATCAATACCATAAATACGGCTAAGGCGTTTATTGTTAACTGAAAGCCTCGCCAATGCACTTATTGCGGCAAGCTGGGGCACACGAAGACAATCATTTTATACTTCGGGTTACTATACTAGACTACTAGCCTATCAAGGAAGCACCACACAATATACACAAGATATCGTACCATGGTTGTACCAGTGACGTACCGGTATAAGATTGGTTAACGAGCAATGGTCGTATTGGCTATACCAGCTTTTTAATATAGACTCACTATAATGGATTTTCTTAGCCAATTAGTGAGCATACACAATGAACAATGATGCCAAACCGGTGTTATACCAGTTTTGCACCATTACGAAATATGGTACGCACGTGAGGTCGTATGTATATACATCCTCTCTTCAACACAGACCAAAGGCGACAATTATCTTCTTTAGAAAGACATCTACTTGTCAGAACCAAACTCTTACTTTTTACCGTTGACTGGTCAAGCGCGTTGTGCAGTGCTCAGGCTTGACTTACCCAAAAACATCGTCTGACAGGTCAAATTTTTAAAGGACCGTGTGTGGAAGCTTGTATGTCAAGGTTGTTAATGCTGGGGCGAAGGGATTGATAATTAAGGGTGGACTTTAAAATAAAAAAAGACGTTGCGGGGATTGGGTTCATGACCTGAAGAATATTTCGTCCCAGCAGTAGATTTCAAAATGTACAATACATTTAACAGTTTTTTGTCAGCAAACTAGTTGCTACCGTTAGGCATGCAACTGGATTTCGTGTCGTCTGTTCCTACTAAAAGTTTTGAGGTCTGCACTTGCTGGAAATTCCGTCGTCTTACTGAGCTACGGTATCAGAACGGTATACCATCGCTGAACGAAGTGTCCCCACCTTAACACTTTAATCGTCGACTTTTGTACACACTCAAGTGTGTTTTATCAACACCGATAAATACCCCAGTACACTTGCGCTGCTGTGAGCGATTATGTGACTGGTGTCAGCTATTTCCTCGACAAATTAGTTTTAAGTGTCTGGACGGTAGCTGTTGTATCGGAGAGAGATCTGCACTTTGTAGCGATATTCTCGCAAAGTTTTTTAAAAGTAGTTGGCACCAGGTTGAACACCCTATCCGCAAACAGCTGATCGTACGGAACGCGTAATCGCAACATCTTCCCGAGAACTTGCGCGGAACGACCGAGATGTGGCCGCAGTGCTGGAGCAAATTGCTCACAGTTGTCAAGTTTGCATTGAATAACGCAGTGCATGCCTCTACTGGCTTTAAATCACTCTTTAATTTGGACTCGCTGATATCGGCTTGGCTACGTTCCGTACCAAAATAATATATTTCATCCCAGTGAAAGCGAGCGTCATGCGCCAAGTATTTGATGCTATGGCTGTGCTGATAGAAATGTGCCGGCGCCAGAGGCAGGCAACCCCGTATGAATATGTTGTGGGTAGATGTTTCTCTCAAGACTGAGCTTATCGACTAATGCAGTACAAGACCCAGTTGCATCCACGCTACTTACGGCTTGTATCACGCACTCAATAACCCGGAGAATACGATCGCAATCTGTATCCTATCGATCGTACATGCCCGTCTGATGTAAAGCGCCCTCTTTGAAAAGACGCACATTTCCTATGGCTGGTCTATACTTTGCATACAGTGATTCACCCAGTGTTATAGTGTAGCTCGGAAGTGCACCCAAAAACTGAGCCAATTTTTTTGGCATTAATCGCACGTCGAGACTGTTGGAAAGAGTTGACGTACCGCCGTAATCGAAAGAGTTCACGAGAGTCAGTCGTGTAAAGGTTGGCTCTCAACCGGTACTATATAATGGGCAATAGTGAGTGGACGCCGTGAAACACCAAAGCGGTTAGCAGTATCTGGTGAAGTCAAAAATGATCTGCTTACTTCGAAAACGCATAAAATTCAAGGCTTTGTTTCAGTTGCCTTCGTGTCGTTGCTGCTTACGGCCTGAAAATTGTTTGATTACGTCGTGTTGGCGACGAATACGAGGCAAATCTCGCTCTAGAATTGAGCACACCCGGCTCAACATTGCCTTTGAAGAAAACTGAAATCTATAGACACAGCATAAGCAAGTACTTTAATTGTCGTAAACTCATTTTTTTGAATCCTTCGGTCAGCTATCTCCTTTTTTTGCGAGATCTTTTTCCAGCTCTGGTGCGTTACGAGCATGCCCGTAATTCGGCGAGCGCACCAGTAAATTGTTTTTCGCTGCCTCCACATCTTAAACCTTGTATGTCGCGACATTATTTTATTTTTTCTACCGAGTTGTCCTATATCAAGTCTATCTTCTGCCACCACGTTGGCGAACACTCAGCTCAAGCACTGTGTCGTTCAAGAAATTATAGTGTGCACACGTAAGGGTATCCTTGACGAAACCCATCGCGAACTTGAGCTGTTGCTTATTCACTGGCATGCCCTGTAACTCAACCTAAACAAACCCCAGAAACGACAAATCAGGTGTGCAACACATTCATGATGTCGAAAACAAAACACTCACCATAATTTTTTCCTTCAAGGTCCGCATGTTGTCTCTAACGTCAATCTCCACATTCAACGTTTGACCCTCAAGCTTCCATTGAGAGTTTTCCGGATCGTTTGGAACCTTCACAACCAATTGTACCATCCCCTGTGTACAATGAGAGCATATAAGTGTAAGGAAATTAAACAGCATGTAAGTGCTATTGTTGTGAAACATACGGGATGCCGGGAAGCAAATTCCTTTTCCGGTAGTAACAATGATCCGCTTGTTCGCTGCCTCTTTGTTGATGGTTCAATGTCTTCGCCTGGAGGTCCCGAAACACCAGGAGGACCAGCACTCATACCAGGTGGGCCACTGCTTGCTCCTGGTGGAATAACGCCTCGTGCTTGCAAATGCGGAGGAAGGCCATTCGGGGGTCCAAGCATCATACCAGCGGCTCCCATGCCAGAGGCGCCCATTCCAAGTGGCATCATTCCAGGTGGCATCATGCCCATTCCTAAAGGAGCATATCCAGGGGCACCAACACCCATGACAGGAGCGCCCATCATTGGACCCGATACCATAAGCGGTGGCATTCCCGGTGCTGGATGTGATAGTGGTAGCATTGATGGCATCTGAGCAGATTCAATGGATCCAGTGATATCGGAAACTGGCTGAGTTTGCACTGTTTCCAAAAATGCTGAGTTCTCTTCTTCAGTGGCGTCTTCCTCCTGTTGTGGCTGCTGCTCCTGTTGTTGTTGCTGCTCCTGCTGTTGCTCGTCAGCAGTCGTCGAACCATTAGTGGCTTCCAACAATCGCGCTTCTTCTTCTGCAGATGACGCGAAGATGTCTGAACGTTTAGTTGCGAAACGTCGCAAAGAATCTGCAATTGCCGATCCTGGTGCATATGAAGACTCTTTTTGCTTTTCAAGATGCCGCTGCGTTTCTTCGCGCCACTTTGGATTCATCAACAGAATTCGCATGTGTTCATTAGCCTCAGCAGACGATATAGTCTTACCGTCCACACTCAGTAATGGTTGCTGCGTCGTCGCCCCAGTTACTTGTGGCACGTGGTCTTCGACAATTTTAATGTCTGGCTGTGGTCCATCGTCGTCATCGTCTTCATCTTCGTCCATGTCCATATCGTCATCTGACCCCTTTGTTTCCTCCTCACCAACAGTAGCTGAAGCGCCCAAGTCATCATCATCGTCGAAATTAATCGTCTCAACGACCACAAAGTCGTGCCAGTCGATCTGCGCCAGTGCACGACGCTCGGCATCACTTTCCGCCACTTCCCTGTCCTTGCGTTCCTGCTCCGTTCGCTGCCATTCCATTCGATAAACACATCGATCAAGCACCTTCATTCGATCCATTCCCTCTTCAATCCTGTAGCCTCAATACAATTAGTCTTTTAAACAACATCGATACGTCAACGACTAAATTAAAGTTGACGCACCGCTTCATCTGCATTTCCTGTTTGGCCATTACCAGTGTGTAGGATTCCACAAGTGCCGTAAAATAAGCGAAGAGTGGGTGGGTGGGCTTTAAAAAGTCGAACTGTGGATTGCGCTGCTCACGTGTAGCAAGACCTGATAAAAATGAGCTACCACTTAATGCCGTGTACTGGGCTGTCAAGTACATGATTTCCTGATCCAATGCACTAAGCGTTGGATGCTTGATTATAAACTTTTCATCTGGTGGTGGCTCTAGCTCTTTATCCTTAAGTTTAATCGCCGCTTGGGCCGCGACATCTTGCACCGCTTTCTTCTCCACAACCACATCACCGGCAGTCTCGGCAGCTTTGACAATCATTTGCGTCTTTACTTGCTCTTCTGAACCATTTACTTGCTGCTGCTCGGATTCAACTGATACTCCTTCTTCTTTCTTAGCGATCAATTCGCTCACCTTGTGCTCATAGTATGCGTGATATGGATCGGACTCGCGTAGGAATGAAAACTTAGCTGACATACGCTCACCAACAATGCGGCTCTCGAAGGCGCGTCCATTGCTTGCCACAAATTGCGCTGTCTTGTCAACCACGGCGCGAATATCTGGTGGTGGGTAGATAATGCCTGTGACACGTCCTTGAACTGTCGCGTCATGTTCCTCCGGCTCCGCAGCCATTTTCGCTGCACTCACAGATTAATCTTTTAAGCTTTAGCCACATATATCAATAATATTATTATCCGGCTATACACTGGCCAATAACTAATAGGTCGCTTTCAAGGTCCCGTTTTTTTGCTAAAACAAAGTCGGAAAATTACAGTTCGAAACTCTATCGCACCAATCACAATCTATTTCCTTCTTGACTTTTACGCAATAGAAATCGGCGCTAATACAGTTTGGGGACGGCCATGTTTGAAATTGAATTCAATTTCTCGTTGTACTTTTTACAATACCATCGCCGCTACTTTGTCCAGCGTTGCACACCATGAGGCCAATAAAATCAAAGTGATTTTGCAGCGGGGCTGCCGTGGTTCTTTGCTTGGAGGAAGCACAGACATTACGTTCTTTCCAAGAACAAGTAAAGTGTAGCGGATCGCAATTCGCTACTTCTAAAAACTAAAGCCTTAACCAAGGCAAACGGCTTCCCGGGCTACTATTGAGAAGCGTGGTGCGCAAGTCGACGCAAGCCCCATGATCTTTCTGATCATAAGCGTCGACGACATCTGGGTAGTCTTGCCGGAGTGGCACCTCAAACTCTCACGAGTTCTGGAGTTTGGGTATCCCCGCCACTTTACAAGATATTGGGTTAGACCCTGCCGGCTATTTAGACCCACAAAGCGTTCCACGTGGTAGAGGACACCACCATTCTCTTCGAGAAGAGTCGGCGGCGGACGATGACGACTTGGTCGTTCGCCGTCCGGTGACTCGCGATTCTCTGCGAGCGTTGGAGGAAAAAGTCCGCTGGATTTTGGTACGGCTTAAGCAAGCACACCGAGTGGGTGCGCATCCTTCTCGGAAGTTTCAGCGTATACGCTAGGCCTCGCTCGGCCACGAACTTAAGAGGGCTGATAAGCCGTGGATGGAGCTTTGTCTAAAGACAGCAGAGACTGCATGTGTAGGACGGGTTTTAGCATTATAGAAACCAGGTCTTCGACTTCAATGTTTTCAACATTTCTTGCTCCTTTTCTGTCTGCATGATCCTTCTGCATATCTTGGCTTTCCGCCATCGCATCGCGAACGTGTTATAAGACACTCAGTCTGGTAGACAGGAAGTCAACGACTTCTTTACAGACAGTAAGAAGGCTGACATCAGCTAGTCGTTCGTCTATTCCTGTCCGACCAAGCCCCGAGCTATGGGATGGAGGCGTCAGCGGGATGCGAAAATTAACAAGCCCGTTCACGTAGAACGGCATGTAACCGGTAGGTGAATGCACTTCATTGTTCAAAGCAAACTTTACGAGTGGCAACTTGGTGCTTCAGCATTTCGGCGTCTCAGTGCATACGGTGCGAGGAACGTCTTCAAAGACGCGATTCACGCGCTCAGCCGGACTATCGGTCTGCGGATGGTCCGCTGTTAACATAGTCAACTTGGTGCCCAGCACCCTGAAGATTGTAGACTAAACCATCCCAATGAAGTGCGGGTCTCTATCAGAGACAATTGACTCCATGTTGCTAGAAAACACAATCGAATAATAGCGTCGCTGTATCCACACCGTTGATGGTGTCCGGCACTGCCACAAGATGAGTCATCTTGCTCAAACGGTCTAGAAAAACCACCACACCGTGTTGCCCGCCGAGACCTTCGGCAGGCCAAACACAAGGTCCATACTCATAGACTGCCAACACCCGGGGGGACCGGTAAACTGGCCAGCGGCGCCACCGCATTCGGAGAAGGTTTCACCTTCCAACACGTCTTACGGTGCGCACATATGTGCTCATCTACTTGTACAGCTTGGGCCACCTGGTGGCAACTCTCCGCGATGTGCGTATTCTCACGACCGAGATGGCCACTAAGTGGGGTGTCGTGGGTCTCATCAAGGATACAATATTTAAATTCTCATCGTGAGGAGCCACAATCCGTGGCGAATCCGTTGAATTGGTGCTATAATACAGCAACCCGTTACTCAACGAATATCGGTTAAACCGTGCGCGCAAATGTGCCGACAATTTCTTGTCCGAGTTTCCAAACTCCCTGCTCCAAAGAGCCATAAGCAGCGCTACACACATTCCGTCACCCGCGTATGCAGCGCGGATCAAATTCGTCACTGACGATGTCCCCGCCATGACATGAGCAAGCTCATAGTCTGGTCTACGTGACAACGCATCAGCCAAAGCAGTCTCATTTCCTGGCCAAAACTATATCTCAAAGTTATATTCTGCAAAGAATGAGAGCCACCTGGCCTACCTATGCGAGAGGTGAGACGACTGAGTCGCAATTCGTAAGGACGCATGATCTGTGTAGATCACAAACGGCTTTGAGCCAAACAGGTGCACCCTGAACTTTACCACTGCATACTTCATCACACGTAATTCCTTGTCGTGGACTAGTTAGTTCCGCTCTGCAGCCTTGAGCTGGAAGGATTTGAACGCGATCACCCGATCTCGCCCCTCGGTGTCTGCTTGTAGCAGTGTACAGCCGATGGCAAAGTCCGAAGCGTCACAGACGACTCTAAAAGGACGATTGAAATCTAGCAACACCAGTATTGGTGCATTGAAGAGGCTGTCTTCGACCCTGTCAAAAGAGTCCTGATGCTCGGTGTCCCAAGATCCTTCCTAAGGTGATTAGACAATGGCCGTGCCATCTTCGCATAGTTTGCACTTTACTTGCGCAAGTAGTTGGCGAGGCCAACCAACTTGCGCAAGTCCTTTTGGCTCTTTGAAATCGGCCAGTGCACAATGGCCTTGACCTTAGCGGGATCCGCTCGAAGGCCACGCTTCCGAATGAAGCACCCTAAAAAAGAATTTCGTTCGCGCCGAAGATGCACTTATCGGCATGAGCATACAGCTTATTCGTGCGCATGCACTCGAGCACCGCTGTCAAATGAGCGATGTGGTTCTCCACATCTGACCTTCCGTACCCCGCACGACTGTGGACAAGGATCTCGCCGATGTATGTCTGTGCATACGCCCGGTGGGGCCTGAACAATTGCTTCACAAGACGATTAAATGTTGCTGGTGTATTTGATAGCCCTTGGAGCATCACCAGCTATTCCCAGAGCGTCCCGCTCGGAGTACTCACCGCTGTCAGCGCAATATCACTCGCTATCCTGAGCAATCGGTAATAAAGATCGACCAAGTCAAGTGTACTGTACTTTGTACAGCCAACCATATTGTCCTGGAGAATACCTTTCCTAGAATTCGGCAACTGTGCCGGAATGGTGGTAGCGTTGAGCTTGTTATAAGCGTAAACGATACGCCACTTACCGTTCGGCTTCCGGACACAAGACGTCGGTGTCGAACGAGGAGACTTGCTCTCTTGCACCATTCCTACCTCGTATTTTGCACGGAAAAAGGCACCAATGACGTCACACTACTCTTCGGCCAGGGGCCATAGGCATGTCACGTAGTATTTGGTTCCCGGAACCAGATCAATCTTATGACGCACACTCCAGTTTAGAGGTATGAACGACGGCGGGCCTTTGAAGACGACGTCTTGATATTCCTTCAGAATCGATGGTCCATTTCTGGCTACCTAGCCCCGTACCGTATTCTTGTTTGGGTGTGGTCACACCATGCACATTT